ACCAAACGCTGAAAAATTAATGATTTTGCAGTTGCTCTACAGGTTACAATTATAGACCAATCAAAGCGGATGTTAGCATGGGGCTAGAGCTTTGGGCTGGGCAGAAGCCTTCCAATTTTGATGGTCATCGGGTAATATTTAGTGGGTAAAATAGGCCACAACATTTGTGTTAAATAAAAGTCAAATTTTCCATTAAACCGCGAACATTTTTATCTCGGCGTAATCACAAATAGACGAACAGGTCAATTCTGACCGTTACGTAGATGCCGATAGTAAATATATCGCATATATAGGGAAATATATACAATGTGTATATACAAAGGAAGGGGGTGTTAGTTAGAATGCTTATACCTCAAGAATGGCTGGACCGATTTTGACAAATTTTGTCAATTCAGAATGCCCTCTTGACAAAAAAGTATAAAATCATAAAAAATCCAAGAAAAATATGCCAATAATGATGTTAATATAGATTTTGTGACATTTTTTTATGTTTTCATATTTTTTATCGCATGCGATTTTTTCAATTTGACTTTTAATATTTTGTAATATTTTTTCACCTTACAACACAAGTTTTGGATATTATATAAGTATTGCAAATATCGTCCGATCGTCACGAAAATTTTCACAAGGGTAGAGTTGGGCTCAGAAGGGCTAGGCCTATTGTTTTCAAAGATGTCCGCAATATAAAATGGACCCAGAACTAAAAAATTTGCAGCCGTTATAAAGCTCACAAATAGAGACCAAAGGACACGAAATCTCGCATGAAGTTAGAGATTAGGACAGCGAGTAGAATGGACCACTAACTTTGTGTGAAAAAAATAACAGCATTACTTACAGGCGATATCCGAAATACACAAAAGGCGAACTTCTGGCTTTTTATACCCTACCACACTATGGGTGAAATAGATCATAACATTTCTAATAAATAAAAGTCAAATTTTCTATTAAACCGCGAATATTTTTAATCCCGCCGAAATTACAAATGGACGAGCAGATCAATTCTGACCATTGCGTAGATACCAATAGTAAATATATTGGATATATATAGCGAAATATATACAATGTTTTTATAGAAAGGAAGGGGATGTTTGCTAGAATGCTTATATCTCAAGAATGGCTGGGCCGATTTTGACAAATTTTGTCAATTCAGAATGCCCATCGCATAAGAAAAAGCCAATAATGATGCTAATATAGATTTTGTTTTATTTTGTGACATTTTTTATTTTTTCATATTTTTATCGCATGTGATTTTTTCAATTTGACTTATAATATGGAAGTGTACATTTTGTAATATTGTTTCACCTTACAACATAGGTTGGGGTTATTATATACAGATTGCAATTGTCTTCCGATCCTCACGAAAATTTTTACAAGGGTAAGGTTCGGCTCAGAAGGGCTAGGCCTATTGTTTTTAAAGATGTCCGCAATATATTTAGGGGTTGAAATTGACCACAAAAAATGTTTCTGATTTGCAGCCGTTATAAAGGTCACGAATAGAAACCAAAGGACACGAAATCTCGCAAAAAGTTTGAATTTAGGACAGCGGGTAGAATTTACCACTACTTTTGTGTAAAAAATACCAGCATCTCTTACTGGCGATATCCGAAATACTTCTGTCTATTTTATGCTGATTTCGTTGACGAATATCCAAATATCGTAGACAAGCAAATCATATAGATGAATCTAAATTTGGAGATTCAGAGTGTCCTGTTGCTTTTGGAGATGATCGAAAAATATTTATGGGCTCAAATTAACCAAAAACAGAAAAAATTCCCGATCACACAATTGAAGCCAATAGACACGCCTGAGGAGAGAATACGACGGAGTGCGTAAATATTACGCAAATGTCTCTGGTCAAAATGCTAAGAATAATATCTGGGCAGTGCTCCGTCACATACTTTCAAAAGCGAAATCTTCCAAAATGGATTTGGACATAAGCCCCCTTAACATATTGTAGTGTTGTAGGGTATCACATGTTCGGGCGCGCACGACCATAGCCTTTGCTTACTTGTTTTATTTATATCAGACTTAGATCACATACAAAATGGGCAATATTGGGCAACTCCTCCCCAATATGGGGAATCCCCACCTTGAACTGGACCGATATATGTAATTTTCATTCTTGATATATGGAGTATTGGTAAAAATATTGTTATGCCCGAAGTTTGTATAAAATTAGGATGTTATTTCGCAATTTATTAGAGTTTGGTTTAGTCAAAATTGTGATCGTTTCTTGGGGATTGCCAGAAACAGAGTTTAGTTGTTTATGTAGTTGATGTTTGTATCCGACCTAAATCTGATAGAAAATAATGTGCCGAGTGCCATCTAAAAGTCAGTTTTCATTTATTTTTAGGTGCTGGGCATTATTGAAAAGTAGAGCCTGCTTTGAGGCGTACAAAAAAAATAGAATATTTCTGCAATGGTATTAAATTCTTAATTAAAATTCCAAATGACACTAAAAGAATTAATCAAAAACAACGTGGCCAGATTTTTTCTATTGAGTCGACAAAGCTGGTGTAATTTTTTAATACATGGTGTGTGTCGACAATAAATAATTTAAATATCGTCAATATAGCTCATTGTTTTGCTACAACGCCATACAATTTTTTGGTAAACCTAGCAGGGTAAGTGTGCCTAAGTTCGGTATGTCCCAGTAGTCGGCACTTTTTATTTTTAAGCCCAAATAAATGAAACTATTATAACTAAATGTTTTTTGTTTACTTCAAATATATTGTCAGCTATCTTTGTGTACAATTTCGCTAAGAAGAGATGATTTATTCTAATAAAAATTAAATGTTTGTCTGTGGAGGTCCTCAACAATTCAGAAAAGTACAATAAAGACGTCGAATCAGTTTAACTAAACAAAAATATTATATTTTAATGAATTAATTTATTTTTATTATTAATTATTCTTACAAAAAATTGGTATGCCAACTGTTGGAAAATGCCATACCGACAATTGGCAAGTGGTGCCGACTACTGGCAAAAAAGCATTGCTTTTAATAAAACTACAAATTTATGAAATTTAATAAAAATATATTAAAACTTTATTTATTATTGCAAAAACTATACAAAATTTCGAATCTGAATAAATTAACATTGTAATAATTGAAATGTTCCACTCAGAATGTTGAGCGATTAAAAATTTTCCCCAAAAGGAAATTTTACCAAATTTAGTAACATTTAGTACAGTTCTTCACGTACAAATTTCCAAAACCACCTCCTTACATCAACCTCATTTCCGAGAATTGATTCTCATACCAAATTCCAAGATATTACCACTATCCGTTCATATAATTTCAAATGGTACCAATTTTATTGCATTTTAGTACTTTTAGTTTGTCTTTTCACATCAAAGGTTCCCATTCCACATTTCAGATTCCCAGCTCTACAGGGTGAGATAAAAAAACTGCAACAAAGGTAAACGCCATCATTTTTACATTTTTTTAAATTTTATTGAATGAAACCAAAAAATGTCAGAAATAGCATCAAATTTTAGAATACGTTTAGAATTGGTTACCTTTGGTACGAATTATGGCCTTTAAACGGCCAATGAAACCGTCACACGCTGCCCGAATATTGTTCTCCGTTATTTTGGCCCATTCCCGGTGAAGCGCTTGTTTGAGGTGATCGACACTTTGGTATTTTTTAGTGCCAACATTTGCTTTCCAAAATACTCCAGACACAATGGTCCAACGGATTGGTATCCGAAGATTTTGGTGGCCATTATTCGCTCGGAATGAAGCGAGGAACCTCATTTTGTAACCATTCTTGGGTGGCGCATGCTGAGTGCGATGGTGCTGAGTCTTGTGGGAATGTCCAAGGTCTGGCGCCAAAACGTTTGCGTGCCCAAGGCTTTAATAACCCCTCCAGAATGTTTTCGCTACAATATTCATCATCTATTCTGATTCCACGGTCGATTAACACGAGGGGAGAGCGACCATCGGCTATTATGGCGGCCCACACCATCACCATGGCTGGCGCTTGAGTTCTGGTGGCCAACAGAAGGTGCACATTTCAACTGACCTCTTTGGCAAGTAAACACGATAATTTTGTTTGTTTATAATCTGGACAACGAATGTTTTCTCATCGGAGAAAACCAAATTCGGCATTTTACCACTTTCGGTTAAGCGAAGCAACACCTTAGACCTTTTGAGTCTATTTTCTTTCTGTTGTGCTGTAAGTTCTTCCATTTTTGGGACTTCAATGGCTTTTCCCCGAGTTAATTTTTCAATATTTGCCGAATGGAATATTGCGATATGTGTTGCTGTTTTCTTCCGACCACTTCCTTGACGTCGGGCTACGCTATCAACAAACGATTTATTCACATTTAAATACTGGAGTGCTTTAACGATAGCCGCTTGTGGTTTTCCAGCCATACATAAAAAAATCACACTATCGCGCTTCATCAATTCCATCACGAATAACTTTTTTCTGGACAATTCTCAATAAAATGCTTTTGTACGCTTGTAAACAATATAATGAGCTGTCACTGGAATAATTTTAACAGATGTCGGACAAGTGGCTTAAAAATGACAGTAGTCTGAAGTTGGTTGCAGTTTTCTTATCTCACCCTGTATTTAAGAAGAAGGTAACTATTTTTTTCCAGAAATTTACTAAAACTATTTTCTTTTCCTATCAAAAATAACAAAAAAAGTGTTTGTAGGAAAAAGCTACGATTATTAACTAAACATATCTCGTCTAGTGCTCTGATTATTATTTTTTCAATCTACTTATTAGCGAATGCCATAAATATTACATACATATTTGCCACAAAAATAGAAGGTTTTACTCACAATATATCTAGAGCTTTTGTGATTTAACTATTAAAATATTAAACCACGCTGACATAAAGAATTCAGTCTCAATCTATCTAATATCAAACTACTTTAGAAAAACCTACAGCATTCTCAACGAGTTCATTGCTGAGTTTACCGAAATTATTATTAATAAATAATCAAAAATTTTATATTTTTTCCTTTTTCTAAAATATTTAGAAATTGCTAATCAACTTTTTTTATTTTCCGAGCTTTAACAATGTATGTCTTATAGTAGAAATTACAAAACATTGCTGTCATAAATAAGTTTTGTGTCACCAGTGCACACATCCATCCATACGACATGCCGCACGTGTTGTTGCACAGCGACGAACCAAACTTAATGGTGTAGTAAAAGAATTGGATAATTTGTATTTCGGTTAGGCGAGGTTTCCATGAGTCCAATTTGATTTTTGATTCCATCGATGACAGCAGATAATAGGTGTACATCAGGGCGTGGACAAAGGAATTCAGATGGCCAATATCGGTGTAGACACTGCCTAAAATGCAAAATGTATGAAAGTTTAAAATATTACATATCGAAAATAACAATATCTCCTACAACTAATCAGTATTACAAAAACCAACAGTAGGTTTTCAATTACTTACCAAAGAAGAGATTGTGGTACAGAAAACTGGCCCATATCATCGAAGTATGATGATAAACATGTAGGAAGGTTATTTGCTTATTTTTCTTTCGCAAAACGAAAAATATCTGCAATAATAAATTTTTCGAACGTTTTACATGAATTTAATTTTTTTTTATAAGAAAATACTCAACTGTGTCTAAGGTATCAAATATTTTGGTCAAGTAGCATATATGCGTTATATGCATAAGGTCCATAGTTTCCTTTGAAATGTCATTTCTTTCCACTCTCATGCAGAACCAATCGTATGCGGGATGGGGTAGATAATGTCTCATGAACTGAAATTAGAAAGTGGAACAAGTTTTATTAGTAAAAAGACGCAGAATTGACTTTCATATATTTGAGGAAATTTCGTTATAGAAACTGAAATCCAAATTAAAGCAATTCTTGCTTGCAAACTAAAATTTATTAAATTTCAGTAAAAAAATCTAAATCTGAAAAGACTTTCTTGAAATTTAAATGAAAATCCGTCAGAAAAAAAGAAAATTAGATTCAAATGACTATGTATAATGCATAATATTTTTATACCCTACACCACAAGGTGATCAGGGTATTATGTCTTTGTGCATTTGTTTGTAACAGGCAGAAGGACACGAGATAGACCCATAGTTCCTTTTGATGATCTGCATAGAATCACAGTCTGAGTCGATTTATGCATGTCCGTCCGTCCGTCTGTCCGTCTGTCCATGTATTTTTGTAAACAAGGTACAGGTCGCATTTATTGCCCGATCCAGATGAAATTTTGCAAAGATCTTTTGTTTGGCCCAAGGACGAACCCTATTGAAATTGGAGATAATCGGTCAAAATTTAGATTTATAGAATTTTGCATATACACCCAAATTAGGCCTGAAAATATGTATGCCAAATTTGATCGAAATCGGTTCAGATATAGCTATAGCTCCCATATTTATTGTTCATCCGATTTCTTCTTTTTTTTGTCCACCGCCGCCGTAATATGCACTCTGTAACAACAATATTTGGGGAAATATATCAAATGCAGCTCAGAAATACCTTTGCTAAATTTTATCGAGATCGGTTCAGATTTGGATATAGCTCCCATATATAACTTCGTCCGATTTACCTTTTATTGTGCACCAAACGTCTAATATTAGTCCAAATGGGATGGAATTTGGCACTTACGACCGAATTGAGTCTAGAAGCTAGTATGTCAAATTTGGTGAAGATCGGTTTCATCCGATTTGTTATATTTGTTACCCACAGCCATAATATGCACTCCACAATAACGATATTCAGGGAAATATATCAATTACAGCTCAGAAATATCTTTGCCAAATTTTATCGAGATCGGTTCAGATTTGGATATAGCTCCTATATATATATATATATATATATATATATATATATATATATATATATATATATATATTTATCCGATTTCAAATTAATTGTGCACCAAATGGGCAATACAATTCCGAATTTAAAAGATACAAATGCTTCGGCATATTTAATCCTTTGAATTTTAAATTATAATTATAATCATAGCGTGTATGATTGAATTCTCCCATAAAAACTTTTAATTGTTATGTCGAGCTCTACTTAATTAGGAAAGTGGTGTAGGGTATCATAAAGTCGGCCCCGCCCGACTTTAAAACTTTCTTCTCAATTTAAAAATTTGCAATTTGTTTACTTTAAAGTGGCGTATGTCCTTAGGCATCGAACGTAGAAATTTGTTCTGCAAATATATTAAATTTTAAGCATATATTTTTTATACTTTGCCTAATGACTACAGAGGATATATATCATTTGATATAACAAACTATGACACTATAACTTTAAAACGGAGTATCCCATTCAGTTCTGAGTTGACACACCCTAATTCTTTTTTAACTTGGATCAAGTTCGAAGGTATTCCACTTCTTCTCCTTCAAATACTTCTACAAATGATAACCAGTAAAGAAAAGTCAATTTACTAGAGCTCACGTTACAAAAGAATTTATTTCAAGTAGATCTTACCACCTATCAACATTTGTCTTTAGATCAGTTATAGTTTGCTACAGAGTCCATGATATCACTTCGAGAAGGATTGTATTAAAAAAAATATATCGGAGCCGAGTTCCACAAAATGGAAGCGTACGTCTCGAAATTCACTCTATTTTGGCTGTTAATAGCCATTTGATGCACAATAAACCTGAAATTGGATTAATGATATATATAGGAACTATATCCAAATCTATGCCGTTCTCGATAAAATTTGGCAGAGGTATTTCCGAGCTCTATAAGATATCTGGTACCTAAAAATGTAATTGTTGTCGAATGCATATTACGAATATGAGGGACTTAAACACCAAATCGGTTGATACATATATATGGGAGCTATAGCTATATCTGAATCAATTTTCACCAAATTCTACGTGCATCCGACTAGACTAAATTCGGTAGGATGTGAAAAAAAAAATCAGGAAATTTGGGCTGGTATTGGCCAATTGGTGCACAATTAAACCGAAATCGGTTGAATATATATATGGGAGCTATATCCAAATCTATTTGTGGGCTGTATCTGACATCTGGTACCAAATATAATTTTTGTGGAATGTATATAACGAATGTGAGGATAGCTATATCTGAACCGATTTTCGCCAAATTTAATATACTTTCTTCTAAACTGAATTTGGTAGGATGTACCAAAATTTAAGTAACTAGGATTTATATTGCCCATTTGGTGCACAATTAACCCAAATCGGTTGAAGATATGTTGGAGCTATATCTAAATCTGGTCCGATTTTCACCAATTTCAATAGGGTTTGTCCTTGGGTCAAGCAAATATTGAAATTGGTGATAATCGCAAATATTGTTTGCAAAATTTCATGTCGATCGGATAATAAATGCGAAATGCATTTTTTTCACAGAAATACATGGACGGACGGACTGACATGCATAAATCGACTCAAAAAAAAACTCTATGAATATCCTCAAAACTAACTATGGGTCTATTTCGCTTCCTTCTCCCTGTTACAAAGAAATGCACAAAGACACAATACCCTTACCACCATGTGGAATGGGGTATAAAAAACGAACTGCTGAAAAAAATCCGCATTTATAAAATATCGAAGTTCAGATGGTACCATTAAGTGGTGACTCTTCGAAAACGTAAACCTGTATCTGCCTGATAAGGGGGTGCATATTCTTAACTTCAAATACCAGGCTTGAGTTGTTGAAAAATATAGCCAAACTCATTAAAATACCGAATATTAGGAGGCACCGTTTTATGGGGCTTTACAAATTTGTAGATCTGTAAAACTAATTTTTCGTCATATTGCGAACTTTCAATTCCAAATTTGTTTGAGATAATTGTGATGAAAACTTTAGCTAAAACCATTACAGTAGGGGAGGTTCAATTATATGGGGGACCATATAAAAATGTGGAGACTTCTATGCAATGAATAGAACAAAAATTCTTTAAATCTGCCATAAAAGTTATATGCGGACTATGTCAAAACGTATATGATCTATTTCTAATACCAACAAGTAAAAAGTAGCTATGTTTAGTACCCTCCACCATTTGGAAGGAACTTGAAAAATTTCCGAAAAAATCTGTCGAAAAATACCGCTTAAATGAAACCGTTAAATAGGAAGACGTGGAATTTGCATAAACAATTTTCTGCCATAGGCTGTACTACCGATTTCGAATTTCAAAAGCGACAATTCCGGTGAATAATGTCCTTAAAATTTTTGAAATAACGAAAATCAAGTGGTTAGCTTATATGGCTGCTATACAAAAATGTGGACCGACGTGATCTATTTACGAACTACTGGCAAAATACAAACATGTGCAAAATTTTAGCCTTCTATTTAAAATCGTTCGAAAGATAGGGTAGTTACAACAGACAAACGGACATCGCTACATCAACTTAGAATGTTACGCTGATCCAGAAAATATACACTTTGTCATGTTAACATGAGTATTTCGAAGAGGTACAGACGGAATGGCAAAGTTAATATACCCTCCATGGAATGGTGGGGTGTATATGAATTTTACGGAAACATTTTACTAGAAACATTTGAGTGAAATTTTGCTCACGTATGCTCATACCATTCGGAAGCTAGAAGGATTTCAAAAGACTAACACACAGACGGATATGACTGAATCGACTTAGAATCTTATGCTGATCCAGAATATTAATCTTGACGGGTCTAAAATGCTTGTTGCGAGGAGTTTCAAGTGGAATTACAAACTTAATACAGGGCTGCCCATATTCAACGGACCCATCTGTCAACGCCAGAGATGTCACATCGCTTAATGACATACCGCGTTTTAAGCGTCAGACCAAGAAGATTTTTACCATGAACCAATACACGCCACTCGAGCGCTCTGAAATAGTTGAAATTTACATTCAACAGAAGAAGTCAATTGTGAAAACTCAACGTGCTTTTAAAACATTAAAAAATGTGAAAAGTGCGCCTTCTAAGAACACCATTAAGCGTTTATACGAAAAATTTTCGACTGGTAAGGCTCTTTCTAATCCGAAGAGGCCATATAAAAGTCGACCAAGGCGATCGGGCGAGAATATCGCTGCCGTACGAGTCAGTGTTGAGAGGTCCCCAAGAACATCCCAAAAACGCCGTTCTCAGCAGTTGGGCATGTCTCGGTCCACTTTACAACGGATTATTGGCGTTGATTTTCATTTGTTCCCGTACAAAATTCAATTGACGCAAAGAAGGTTGCCTGCGGACAAGTCTCGTCGATTGGAATGGGCCCAAAGAGTCATCGAAATGGCCGAAGATGACGAGCAATTTTGGAACAAAATTATCATGTCCGATGAAGCCTATTTCACATTGAATGGGACCGTAAATAAATGGGACCGTGAAAATCCTCAGGAGATTCAAGAAGTGACTCTTCATAACGAAAAAGTCACAGTTTGGTGCGGCATTAGTGCGAAAACGGTCATTGGGCCGTTTTTCTTCCAAAATGAAAATGGCCATGCTGTTGCCATCAATAAGGAGCGTTATCGCGACATGATGACCATTTTTGTGATGCCAATTATTCGTCGAAAGCGTATAAGACAGTTCTGGTTTCAACAAGACGGCGCTCCACCGCACACAAGTCACATAACAATCGATTTTCTGAAGAATTTGTTTCCGGGCCGTTTGATGTCGAAAAGTGGTGATTTGGACTGGCCACCGCGTTCGCCCGATTTGACGCCGCCTGACTTCTTCTTGTGGGGATATTTGAAGTCAAAGGTTTACGTAAACAAGCCAAAGATTGTAGAAGAGTTGAAGGACGACATTCGTGAAGAAATAGCCGCTATTCCGACCGAAATGTTGGCAAAAACGATGGAAAATGCAGCAAAAAGGGCACAATACGTCATTAACGCCAGAGGGCGGCCGTATGAGAGATATCATATTCAAAAATTGATGTAGACAAATCTACTTGTAACGAATTAAATGATTAACATTACCAACCGCCAAATTTTTATTTTTTTCTTTGATTTGTTAAAAAAAACATGGGTCCATCGAATATGGGCAACCCTGTACACCCTCTATAGAATTGTGGAGGAAATAAAAAGGGTGAAAATATCTGTTATTATTGTCCGGAGCCTTAAATTACAACAACAATAAAAAGACTGATTGTAACAACACTTAGATTTAGTTGTCCTAAACCCACTTTACTTACCCCAATAAAAACATAGGTGTTCACAAGAATTTGGAAAAAATTATAGATTTGGATTAACCGTTTGATATTGAATGGCTTCCGATTGGCCATCAGGGCTGGACCAATTTTTACAGAAAATATGACATATGATGCCATAAGTAATACTATATTCAGGTAACTGTTGACAAAGGGCAGGTGGCGCATACGAACATCTGTAATCGAAATCAGGGGTTATCACAATTTTATAATCTATGGTCCTCTTACTCACCAGTTCCAATCATGTTCCAGTGAGATTTGAATTCACGGTAAAATATTTTTAATAGCAACATTTTTGCGGGTTTTTTGTAAAATACAAGGAAATTAAAAACGGCAGAATTTAATACACTTAAGCTATGGACGAATTTTAAGAGCAATGCAACAACTTCTGTTCCGTTTAGCGCCTTCAATTCGACTGAACGACTTGGTGCAGTGTAATGAACTTGTTAATAGAGACCCAGAACTGTAGTCTATTTAACAAATATTGTAATTATATGCAGTCTAGAGAATTATTGCACCCGAAGGAATGTCAAACAAGAATTTACTAGTAAAGTGTGAAATTAAAAAAAAAAAAAAAAACGGAAACACGAAACGTAATTCCACGAAACACACGCAATAGGTCAAGGTACCAAATTAGAGTGTGTTCTATTTTGAAACAAATTCAGCACACTCAAAACCTCAAATGAAATTTCCTAAAATACAAAATGTAGGCATTTAAAAATGTTGTAAAAAACTCAAATTGAATTATTTTGCATAAATTATCGCGAAATGTTCAAAGGCTGTTCCATATTTTGGTTGCTGAGAGCTTCTGTTTTCACTTACAACATAATCTGGCAAAGCTGTGTTATTTGTTTTTTTTTTTTTTTACATCAATTTCAAATTCTTGCATGAATTAAATAATAAAACAAATTGTTTTGTAATAAATCTAGAAGTATGTAAATCATATAATTATAAATTGCGACAGACATAGGTGCAGCCGAGTTCACACGGGAATGTAATCAATTTGTTATGAATCATAGTTTCGAATTGTAGAACAGATGTGATGAAAACAATTCGTTAAATAACACTGAGAATCGGTGTGAAAATACATTTTATGGATTGTTCGCTTTGTTAAGTATATAAGGAAAATTTAGAGTTACGTCGCACAGTGGAGTAAAATCGCAAAAAAAAAGAACAGAGTTTAATGGACATATTGATTGCCATTTCCGATACATAGTATGGGGGGTATAAATAGTCATCTTAGGGTCAGAAAGTATATTTATTCTTGATCAGCATAAAATTCTAAGACGATTTAGCCCTCTTCGTCTGTCCATCTGTAGTGATCACAACTTACATACTCTATATGCAGGTCAAATTCGAAGATAAGCTATGTCGGTCAAACATATAACGGCACCCCAAATACATATTCTTGATCAGCGTAAAATTCTAAGTTGATTTAGCGATCTTTCGAACGTATTGAGATATAAGGCTAACATTGTTTATTTTACCAATAGGCAGGTTAAGTTCGGATATTCAGTATTTTGATGATTTTAGCGACATTATTCATCGGAATTGTTTCAAATTTGGTATTTGAAGTTCGTAATGGATACTACAGTCTGTGACAGAAAATTGTCTGTGCAGTTCCACGTCTTCGCAATGCCCCCATAAAACGGGACCTCCCTATATTCGGTATTTTGATGATTTTGGCGTCATTATTCTCCGGATTAGTTTCAAATTTCGTATTTAGAGTTCGTAATTGATACTACAGTCTGTGACAGAAAATTGTCTGTGCAGGTCCACATCGTCATATAGCCCCCATATAACGGTACCTCCCTATATTCGGTATTTTGATGATTTTAGCGTCATTATTCTCCGGAGTAGTTTCAAATTACTTATTTAGAGTTCGTAGTGGGAACTACAGTCTGTGACAGAAAATTGTTTATGCAGGTCCAGGTCATCGTTTAAGCCCCATATATCAGTACTTTCCTATATTCGGTATTTTAACGATTTTATGTACAATACTCAACGAATTTGTTTGAGATATCGTATTTGAAGTTCGAAATGGATGCTACAGCCTGTGACAGAAAATTCTCTATGCAGCTACAGGTCTTGGTATAGTTCCGATATAACGGTGCCTTCCTATACACGATATTTTGATAATTTTTAGCTACATTATTCGCCGTTTATTTCAAGTTTCGAATTTAAATATGCTAATGGCTTATGACAAACAAGGCCTATGTAGGTTCAGGACGGATTTTAATTTTAGAAAATTTCCACATGGTGGAGGGTATTCAAAGTTCGGGACGTTCGAACTTACTGCTTCTTTAACTGCTTTTGTTTTAAATTAGGTACTTCCTTATTTGGTATTTTAACGATTTTAGGTGCAATACTCAACGAATTTGTTTGAGATGTCGTATTTGAAGTTCGAAATAGATGCTACAGCCTGTGACAGAAAATTCTCTATGCAGCTACAGGTCTTCGTATAGTTCCGATATAACGGTACCGTCCTATACACGGTATGTTGCCACATTTTCACCGTTTATTTCAAGTTAGTTCCAAATGGTGGAGGGTATTCAAAGTTCGGGCCGGCCGAACTTACTGCTTTTTAACTTTTTTTTAAATAGGTATTTGAAGTTCCTACGGGTCACTTATCCCTTGGCGGATAAAAAGAATTATATAGGTGCACGTTTCAGTATAATGCCTAATGTGTTAAAATGTGTTCCCAATAGGTAGTTCCCAATAGGAACTAATCACTAATCAATTTGACAAAAAAACAGATTGAAAAGCATCAGTCGGTTTTGCCGACAGACGCATGCCCTATTGTGTTACAATTTGTACGTGTGAAATTTGAAGATATTTGGATGCATATTTCACTTTCTTTGGGCGATTTGTTTTTCAAAATCTTGAACCCTATGTGAGGGAGCTACCAAAAAAATGGTTCGATCTCTACCATCTTTATAACAGATTTCGTGTGAATGGGAATATTGGGATGTACTGAGTCTAAGTGGAATTGGATCTTAATTTCCCCATATGTGAATGGAATCGGATGGTAATTGTGCTTTTTATGAGCATAATGGATATTCAGAAGGGATGGACCGATATGTCCCATCTTATCACGTGATTATGTGTTAATACAAACACTGTGATATGTGAAATCTGAAGACAATGGGACTCTTGCATCACATTTTGTAAGATATAGAATAATTCAAAATTCTGACCCTGATTCAGGTTGTTAATATATACTTATGGCTTGGTTCACCGAATCGGCATTAAATTCAAATTTATCGGCAATAATTCCTTCATGCCTCGAAATTCTAATACCCTTCCTCATTAGGTAAAGAAAACATTTTTATACAAAAGTATCTGGATTCAAACATTTTTCACTTTAAACTATAAACTCCAATACAAACGGAAGGTTTAAAAAACAATATAGTGGCTGTAGCCGATATATGGGGGACATAGCAAAACGGGAGTCTATATAGACAATTTTATACTACAAAGATTGTAATCTATTGTGAGTCTTAAAAATACTAAATTTGACGCAATTTCGAGGATAAAAGTGACTAGGATTATCTTCTATCTATATATCTGTTTGTAATTTATGGACTCGAAATAGATTTTCCTCGCTGAATAGATTTTCCTGAAAATTTCAATATATATACTGCAACATCGCCTAAAAGTAACATAGGCTATATACATTTTTGAATTTCCACTTGGAACTGGAGATATAGCATCAGAATCGGAGATACCTCCAAAAAATTTAGATTTTATATGCACATATCTATTGATCGGTTAAAGATACAGTCTCCAAATTTGGAATACGTAACGGAATTTGGAACAAAAATAAGTTTTCCAAATTATATTGTAATCGGTTCAGATTTGGATATATCTCCCATATATATTTTCGACCGATTTCGTTCATTTGATGCCTCAAACACAATATGAATGTTCGATTCCAATGAAATTTGGAATGTGTGACGGGATTTGATCCGAAAATAAATTTATCAAATTATATTGAAATCGGTTCAGATTTGTATATAACTCCCATATATATTTTCGGCCGATTTCATGTGTTTGGTGGACCAAACACGATATGTATTTCCAATTTTTTTCCAACGTGTGATAGATTTTATCTAAAAAATTGATTTCCCAAACTATATTGATATATTGATATATACATATACATATACATATATATATATATATATATATATATATATATATATATATATATATATATATATATATATATATATATATATATATATTATATTCATGTATTTGGTGGACCAAACACGATACGTATTTCCGATTCCAATGAAATTCGGCATGAGTAGCTAAATTTGGTACAAAAATAAATTTGACAAATTATATTCGTTAATACGCTTAGATTTGATTATAGCTCCCAAATATATACTCAGGCGATTTCACATATTTGATGCACCCAAAGCGAGAGAGACGAAATCTGGCACCAGAAAAAATTGCCAAATTATATTGAAATCAGTTGAGGTTTGGGTATAGCTAACATATATATTTCGCCCGATTTCATACATTTTATGCACCAAACATGATATGACCGATACCAATGATATTCAGAATGTGTGGCGGAATTTGGTTACAATAATAAATGTGACAAATTAATTGGAAATTAGCTAAGATTTGAATATATTCACATATTTGACGCACCAATTTCAATGAAATATGAAAGGTGTGGCGGAATTTGGTGTAAAAGTATTTTTTTTTTAATTATATTTCAATCGGATCAGATTGGGATATGATTTTAATAAGAACGCCTTAGGCTAACACTAAAAAACAACCCAACAATTAATTTGAAATAAACTTATTACGGGGAAGTATGTAGCTACCTCGAATTCACTAATTGCAATAGAAATGCCACTCCACTTCAAAAGATTGCAGTTTACAGCACGCTTGGTATTTGCTATGAAATAAATAAATCCGAAGGACAAACCCTTCGTGTATGCATGTCATGTTACTGCTTATCTAATGGTTTTGTTTATTTACGCATTAAAGTAGTGCAATATTTTTTTTTTTTTTTTTTAATTTTTAAATTTGTTTTTTTTTTTTTTTAACCAACATATATTTGTAAAGAAAATTTTTAAATCAAAAGGGGTAGCAAAGCGCACCGGGTTCAGCTAGTCAAAATATAAAATATCGGTCTATATATCAAATATCAAATTCCGAATCGTTGTATGAAAACTGTTGACCAATATGACACAGGTGGAGAACCCATTATGAACTACAAATACTAACTTTCATACAAATCTGTTGGAAAATATGTCCTAAATTGTCAAAAATATTGAATATTCGAAGGTACCTTTATATGTGCGCTATAGAAAAACGTGGACCTAGATATTCAATTTGCTGCCACCAGAGCTAGAATCTATTAAAACTACAATTTCACATTGTTAGACAAATCCGTAGAAAAATGTCATCAAAATACTGAAGTACCCTTATATAGGGGCTATATATAAAGACTGTAAAGTTTATTATTTATTTTACTGTTCTCAAAAACCTTTAAAAATGGGTATTTTATTTTGTATTTCTTTTATACATGTGATTTACATTTAGTACTATATATTTCAATAGAATTATTATTTATTTTTCACTATTGTTGCTGATTTTGGTTTCTTCAAAATGTAATTCTTATAGTAGAAATTCGAAAACAGGACAATCATTGAAACATTTTCCAAAAAGATAACCCAAAGCCAGAATTTAGGCAGGCCGCAGGTATTATGGGTGATGACAATGAGAAGTCTGATGGCAAAATAGAAGAATTGAATCAATTGGAATGTTGTCAGACGTGGTTTCCATTTGCTTAGGTCTATGTTCATTTTGAGCGATGTTAGGAAGTAGTAAAAATACATGACCGTATGTACCAATGTGTTAACATATCCTACAACTGTTATATTGGAGGCTATAAAGGGAGAAGAATATAGATAATTTACAAATAATAATATTAGTAGGGTAAATTTAGTTTATTTTCACAAAATCTTACCGAACCACACATTCAGGTACAAAAAGCTTCCCCATATCATGGTGGCATGATGGTACAAATGCAGAACCGAAATATGGCTATATTTTTTGTTCAGCACAAAGAAAACCTGAAAATTAGAAAATTAAACATTTAGGTGTTATAATGACTTTTTCATAGATATTATTTGTAACTCACTGTATCGATAAGATCGGATAATTTATTCAGAAAATATAAATATCCCAATTTACGAAGCTGCATGGTATCATCACTGAAATCTGTATAGTCACTGGGCATACAGAACCAATTGTATTTGGAATGAAATACAAAGTGTTTGGTGATCTAAAAGAAAATAAACATTCATTTATGTATACATAAGAATCCTTTGAATTTTGAGGATATATTAAATTTATATTGAACAAATTTGCAAGGACATACTATGACCATTAAGATTTCAAAGTATCGTATAACAGAAATATAAATATTACCCATAAATTTTTATAATATCCGTCAAACTTACAACGGGCTTATGTCAAAACGTAAACTGAATTGTTGAATATTGAAACAATATTCTGAGGGTTAAACATATGCCAATGAGGACTCCATATACAGCCACAAACCAGTAAAGAAAGTCTTAAAGTCGGGCGGGGCCGACTTTATGATACCCTACACCACTTTGCTAATTAAGTAGAGCTCCACATATGATTATAATTATAATTTAAAATTCAAAGGACTAAATATGTCGAAGCATTTGTATCTTTTAAATTCGGAACTGTATTACCCATTTGGTGCACAATTAATTTGAAATCGGATAAAGATATATATGGGAGCTATATTCAAATCCGAACCGATCTCGATAAAATTTGGCAAAGATATTTCTGAGCTGTATTTGATATATTTCCCTGAATATCGTTGTTACGGAGTGCATATTACGGTTGTGGGTAACAAATATAAAAAATCGGATGAATAATATATATGGAGGCTATAGCTATATCTGAACCGATCTTCACCAAATTTGACATACTAGCTTCTAGATTCAATTCGGTCGTAAGTGCCAAATTCCATCCCATTTGGACAAATATCAGACGTTTGGTGCACAATAAAAAGTAAATCGGACGAAGTTATGTATGGGAGCTATATACAAATCTGAACCGATCTCGATAAAATTTAGCAAATGTATTTCTGAGCTGTATCTGATATATTTCCCCAAATATTGTTGTTGCATAGTGCATATTACGGCGGCGGTGGACAAAAATAACAAATCGGATGAACAATATATATGGGAGCTTTAGCTATATCTGAACCGATTTCGATCAAATTTGGCATACATGTTTTCAGGCCTAATTTGGGTGTATATGCAAAATTCCATACAATTCGGACTGATGTTACACGTTTGGTGCACAATAAAAGGCAAATCGGACGAAGATATATAGGGGAGCTATATCTAAATTTTGACCGATTATCTCCAATTTCAATAGGGTTCGTCCTTGGGCCAAACAAAAGATCTTTGCAAAATTTCATCTGAATCAGGCAATAAATGCGACCTGTACTTTGTTTACAAAAATACATGGACAGACGGACAGACGGACGGACGGACATGCATAAATCGACTCAGAATGTGATTCTATGCAGATCATCAAAAGGAACTATGGGTCTATCTCGTTTCCTTCTGCCTGTTACAAACAAATGCACAAAGACATAATACCCTGACCACCTTGTGGTGTAGGGTGTAACTGAAAAGTAAGATTTGGAATTTTTACACCATTTGCCGTGCGGATAATTATTAAAATCTAATTTAAAGGTATCGGTCGATCTTCCTGACAGATGAATACCCTCAACCAATATCTGCCTACTTATATATTTATTGACTTGCGTTTTGATTAAAGCTTTTCACCGTTTATACTTTCAAGCTTTTGACCGTTTATGGGTGATGTTCCGAAAATTATCCATTTCGTATCTGACCTAAGTCTGATATAAATATTACAAGGTGCCAGACTTCCTGTGAACATTCACACCAAATCTTGTGTTAGTGACAATATTGGAAAGTGTGAATCTTCGTAGGAATACGATTCTTATGATCGTTTTGATTATTTAAAATTTTGACACTTTCTGGGGAAGGTGTCCAGAAAGAGTGCTCCTAAATAATACATTTTAACACCAGATTTTGGTTTAGGAAGTTAGCATGGGGCTAGAGCATAGGGCTGGGCAGAAGCCTTCCAATTTTGATGGTCACCGGGTAATATTTAGTGGGTGAAATAGGCCACAACATTTGTGTTAAATAAAAGTCAAATTTTCCATTAAACCGCGAATATTTTTAATTCCGGCGAATTCACAAATAGACGAACAGGTCAATTCTGACCGTTACGTAGATGCCGATAATAAATATATCGGTTATATAAAACCGAAATATAAACAATATGTATATACAAAGGAAGGGGATATTAGTTAGAATGCTTATATCTCAAGAATGGTTGGACCGATTTTGACAAATTTTGTCAATTCAGAATGCCCTTTTGACATAAAAGAATAAAATCTAAAAAAAATCGCAGAAAAATATACCAATAATGATGTTAATATAGATTTTTTGTATTTTGTGACATTTTTTTATTTTTTCATATTTTTTGTCGCATGCGATTTTTTCAACTTGACTTTTAATATTTTGTAATATATTTTCAACTTACAACACAGGTTGGGGATATTATATAAGTATTGCAAATATCGTTCGATCCTCACGAAAATTTTCACAAGGGTAGGATTGGGCTCCGAAAGGCTAGGCCTATTGATTTCAAAGATGTCCGATATATAGTAGGGTGTTAAAATGGACCAACAACTAAAAAATTTTATGATTTTGCAGGCGTTGTAAAGGTCACAAATAGAAACCAAAGGAGACGAAATCTCGTATAAAGTTAGAGTTAGGACAGCAGCTACAATGAATCACTAATTTTGTGTGAAAAAATACCAGCATTACTAACAGGCGATATCCGAAATACACAAAAGGCGAATTTCTGGCTTTTTTATGCTGATTTCGTTGACGAATATAGCCAAATATCGGAGACCAGCAAATCATATAGATGAGTCTAAATTTGGAGATACAGAGGGGCCTATTGATTTTTTTTGCATTTGAGATGATCGCAAAATTTTTAGGGGTTCAAGTGAACCAAAAACAGATTTTTTTCCAAAATAGATTTGGACGTAACTAACATATTGTAGTGTTGTAGGGTATCACATGGTCGGCCCGCACGTCTATAGCCTTTGCTTACTTATTTTATGATCGTTTTGGTTATTCAAAAATTTGTAGGGGAAGTACCAAAGGGAGTGGACCGATATATCCCGCCTTTACAACATATCTTGTATTGGTAGAAATATTGGGACAGAAAGTAATGGTTATTCTAAATTCAACATTTTGACCCTAAGTGGGGGAGGTACTTGATGGAGTGAGCCGATATTATTAATTTTTGACACTTGCAAAGTTTGAGAAAATTTGGATAATCCCTTCTTGTTCTTATCTGTCAAAATGTTGGGATTTTATTTCGTTATTTCGATGAGGCACATTTTGGCCGTGTCAAAATGAGAGGGAATACTCTGTGGCCATATAATAGCTGAGGGTATAACAATTTTACACAAACGTTGTGGTCCATTTTACCCGCTAAATATTATCCTATATGCGAAATTACGTGTCGAGTGTGACCTGTAGAGCGATTGTAAAAAATTGAAAGTTTTCAAAAACCGAACATTTTCCCGATTTCATTTAATAATTATATTAATATTTTGCTATATTTAATATCAATATTTTGCGATCATTATGAAAAACAACAAGCTTTTATTCCGTATTGCCAAATCTACAATTCAATATTGCAAGTTAAATTAAAAAAAAAATCTTACAATAAAAAAGTATGACAAAAAATAAAATATATCACAGAATAAGTAAGTAAAGACTATAGCCGTGCGGGGCCGACCATGTGATACACTACAATATATTAGAAGCCCCCTTATGTCCAAATCCATTTGGTTTTTAAAATTATTTCACGGAGCTCTACGACGTGCTGTTAGCTGTTGTGGTCCATTTTACAGTTTATTATAATCCAATGGTCATCCATAATGCTAGAATTCTTCCCTGTCCTTAACTTTCTTCTCAGACGTGTCGATTGGTTTCAATTGTGTGATCAGGAAATTGTTTCTGTTTTTAGTTAATTTGAATCCCTAAATATTTTGCGATCATCTACCAAAAGGAAGAGGCCCCTCTGTATCTCCAAATTTATACTCATATATATATGATTTGCTTGTCTACTATATTTGGCTACATTGGAGTCCAGCCCTAAGCTCTAGCCCAATGCTAAATTTCGCTTTGATCGTTCAAAATCAGGAAATCAGTTTTTGGTCCATTCAACCCCTAAATATTATGCGATCATCCCCAAAATAGGGTTCTCTTCTGGCTCTAGCCCCACCTCCATTCTAAATTTCGTGAAGATCGGGCCATAATTCCGACCTGTAGAGTGATTACAAATTAACATGGACAGACGGACGTACGGACATACATAGCTAGTTCGACTCAGCTCGGTGAGATAGAAAGATCCATGTGAACTTTCCTATGTGCAAAACCAATGTTTCGAGGTGTTGCATAATTTTTGGCCCATAAAAACAATAAATATTCACATTTTTATTGGCATATGTTTACGATTTTTTTAGATTTAATCATTTTTTTCCAAGAGAACATTCCGAATTGCTGCAAATTTCCAAATTCCAGCCGTTCTTGAAATCTACACGTATTTACTATTTATATATTTTATATAGCATCAAATTTTAGAATACTACAGCCTATGACATAGATTTTTGTATGCAGGTCCACTTCTTCGTATAGCCCCCATATAACGGTACAGCCCAACATTATTCACTGAAACTGTTTCAAATTCCGTATTTGAAGTTCGTAAAGATTACTACAGGCAATGACAAAAAACATTCGTGAGCAGTTTCACGTCTTTATATATATAACAGTTTTCATTTAAGCGGAAGTTTTCGAATTTCTTTTTTGAACATTTTCAAGTTCTTTTTCCCAATAGTGGAGGGTATTAAAGCGTCATTTTTACTTTTTATACCATCCACCATACTATGGAGGGTATATTAACATTGTCATTCCGTTTGTATCTCCTCGAAATACTCATATCAGATCCAACAAAGTATATATATTCTTGATCAGCGTAAAATTCTAAGTCGATTTAGCAATGTTCGTCTGTCTGTCTGTCTGTCTGTCCGTCTGTCTGTCTGTCGTAATCACGCTATCTTTCGAATGAATTGAGATTTTGCACACATGTTTATTTTTCCAGTAGGCAGGTTAAGTTCGTAAATGGGCCATGTAGGTCCACGTTTTCATAACCCCCATATAACGGTAACTCCCTATATTCGGTATTTTGATGATTTTAGCGACATTATTCATGGGAATTGTTTCAAATTTGGTATTTGAAGTTCAAAATGGATACTACACCCTAAGACGGAAAATTATCCGTGCAGGTCCAGGTCTTCGTATAGCCCCCATATAACGGTACCTCCCGATATTCGGTATTTTGATGATTTTAGCTACATTGTTCACCGTTTATTTCAAGTATCGAATTTTAATATGGTAATGGCTTATTACCGACAATGCCTATGTATGTCCACGTCGTATAGACCCCAAAAATAACGGCTATATTCGGTATTTTTAAAATTTTAACAGAATTTTTTAAGGATTTTATTTTTTGAAAATTTCCAAATTCGTTGCAAATGGTGGAGGGTATTAAAAGTTCGGCCCGGCCGAACTTACTGCTTTTTAACTTGTGTTTTTTTTTTTTTTTTTTTTTTTGAAGTCTTGCATCACAGTGTTATCTTGACAGCAAGGGAAAAGTATGGCCTGAAGTGAAAATATGGCCGTGTGACCTTGCCCTGTGGGCATAACATTCAATTTCGAAAAAATTGCACTCACCATTATAAAAAGGTACGCATTGAATATAACTTGAGCAATGTTGTACAACGAAATAAGCCATCGAATATTATATGGCTGCCGTTTGGCCATAAAGGCTGGACCGATTTTCTTAACAAGTATTACATAGATCACAATTATTGCAAGTATTGCGGGGTAACTGTTACTGATCGGCAAATCTCTGGTACGGGGATCTGTAACAATATATCCAAAATTGAAAAAAGAAATCGCACAATATTATTTTAGATTCAGATATACCTCGTCCAGCCGCCGTTAGGAAATGCTCTTTGAGTTCGTTGTAAAGATATGAAATCATGGTGATGGTTTTCTGCAGTTATGCCCTATCCAAGTCCGGCCAGTATCAGCGACGCGATTCTATTGCAAACGAAGAACAACTAAATGACAAAATTCCGAGTTGTGTTTATTAGGTTCATTATTCAATTTCTTTTCGCTTGATATACGCAGGAAATCGGCACGTTATTGCTCTTTTTTTTCCAAAGCAATGTAATACCATTGCTGTTGGCAGTATTATATAAACTATGAATATTTATGTGTTTTTAATAAAATTGGTTTTTTATTCAAAAATTTACGTCACGTGTTTGAAAGGAGGGGGGGGGGGGGGGTTAATATGCCAGGCTATTTACTTTACCTTTGCTTTGAACATTTCATGTCTTTCAAGCATTCCATAAGGCTACTAGAAATAATTGAAAAAAAAAAATCAATATTTTTTGTGCTGGTGTTGGAAACGAAATGCTTTGGTTTGTATTAAGCTTTGGACTTTGCAGTTGTGAAATATGACGTTTTCGGTCTATATAAAACTTCAATTCTAATCGATATATCTGAAAAATTAAGCGCTGAGTAGAAAAGTTTTATGTTTGCAAACATTTTGAAAGAGATATTGTGAGTTTTGTTTTCTTTGCTCTCTCTCTCTCTCTCTCTTTTAATGAGATAAACTCAAAGTCCGGTTAAATTATTTTGTGTCCAATTCCTGTCATAGACAAATGTTGATATTTGCTGAGTATGTTCGAAATGACACAAGTAACTAATAATTTTACTATTTATTCTAGTTATGTCGAAAATAAATGAAACCAGTTCCTAAAAATTAATATCCAGCTTTGAAGGATATTAAATGTTTTTATATAAGTTCGTCATTCCGTTTGTAACTCATCGAGATAATCATTTTAGACCCAACAAAGTATATATATTCTTGTTAAGCGTAAAATTCTAAGACGATTTAGCCCTGTCCGTCCGTCTGTTGTAATCACGCTACAGTCTAAACGAATTAAGATAGGAAGCTAAAATTTTGCACAGATCTCTCTTTTTTCTGAAGGCAGGTCAAGTTCGAAGATGGGCTATATCGGTCCACGATATCGTATAACCCCCATATAACAATACCCCCGATCTTCGGTATTTTGATGATATTAGCCACATTTTTCAATGGAATTGTCTGCAAATCCACACAAGTAGTTCCTTGTGGGTACTTTATACCTCGGCAGAGAATTATCTATATCTAATTATAGCCCCCATATAACGGTACCCCCCGATATTCGGTATTTTGATGATTTTACCAACATTTTTCAATGGAATTGTCTGAAATTCCACAAAAGGAGTCCCTTGTGGGCATTTTACCCCTCAAAAAGAATTGTCTTTATAGGTCCACGATATCGTATATCCCCCATATAACTGTACCCCCCGATATTCGGTATTTTGATGATGTTAGCCACATTTTTCAAAGGAATTGTCTGAAATTCCACACACGGAGTTCTTTGTGAGCACTTTACCCCCTGAAACGGAATAGTCTATATAGGTCCACAATATCGTATATCCTCCATATAACGGTACTCCTCCAAAATTCGGTATTTTTATGATTTTAGCCACTTTTCCAATGGAATTATCTGAAAATCCACAAAAGGAGTTCCTTCTGAGTACTTTACACCCAGTCATAGATTTGTCTTTATAGGTCCACAATATCGTATATCCCCCCATATATCGGACCCTTCCTATTTTAGATATTTAAAAGATTTTAAAAGAATTTATAATTGATTTTATTTTTTTGAAAATTTTCTAATTTGTTCCAAATGGTGGAGAGTATTCAAAGTTCGGCCGGCCGAACTTACTGCTTTTTTACTTGTTTAATTTCGTATCTGGCCTTAGTCTGATATAAGGTGTCAGATCTGGACTATACCAGCTACTTTCTTCAACATTTATGACATATGTGATAATTTTTTTAAACTGTCGAAGTGTGAGTGAGGTACCAGATAAGGTGGACAGAAGTATACCACTCTAACCAACGCTGATAATAATATTGAAGAATGTAGATTTTAAAGCAAATCTATAAGTTTTGCCAATTTTGGAGATTAGATTTGCAAGGTTTGCACAAAATTTGATGGTCCTTGTAAATTATTTTCTGTGACCTCTTTTGGGAAAGGTACAAAAAAAAGTGAACAGACATTGCCCATCTCTGAACTCCATCTATGTTTTGTAATTGTATTATAATGAACCAAGTATGGAATAAATCGGATACTATCTTCGAAAGTTATCCTGTGCACCAACCAGACAGGCTGATGGACGGACATCCCTAGATGGACTCGAAATGTCCTAAAGAGACCTAGGACCAAAAATCATGATTTCGATGAGGCACGTTGTAGACGTATCGAATGATATACAGGGTGAGATAAAAAAATGCAACAAAATCAATCGCCATAATTTTTACAGTTTTTTAAATTTTATTGAATGAAAGCAAAAATGCTCGAATTGGTCACCTTTGGCGCGAATTGTGGCCTTCAAACGGCCAATGAAACCGTCACACGCTGCCCGAATGTTGCTCTACGGCATTTTCGCCCATTCCCGGCGTAGCGCTTGCTTGAGGTGATCGACACTTTGGTAGTTTTTAGTGCGAACCTTGCTTTCCGAAATACTCCAGACACAATAGTCCAACGGATTGGTATCCGGAGATTTTGGTGGCCATTGTGCGCTGGATATGAAGCGAGGAATCTCATTTTGTGACCATTCTTGGGAGGCGCATGCTGTGTGCGATGGTGCTGAGTCTGGTTGGAATGTCCAAGATCTGTGGCACCCTCCAGAATATTTTCGCGATAATATTCGGCATTTATTCTGATGCCACGGTCGATTAATACGAGCGGAGAGCGACCACAGGCTGTTATGGCGGCCCCATCACCATGGCCGGCGCTTGAGTTCTGGTGGCCAACCGAAGGTGCACATTTTCAGATGACCTCTTTGTCAAGTAAACACGATCACTTTGTTTATTTACAAACTGCTGGACAACGAATGTTTTCTCATCGGAGAAAACCAAATTCGGCAGTTCACCACTTTAGGCAAGCGAAGCACATCTTTAGCTCTTTTTTGAATCTATTTTCTTTCTGTTGCGGTGTAAGTATTTGCACTTTCTGGAATTTCAATGGCTTTATCCTGAGCTAATTTCTCAATATTTGCCGTATGAAATATTGCGATATGTTCAGCTCATGAGCCATTTCTCGAGCCACTGTGACGCGGGTTTCGATCAAGTTGTTTTTTTCTTTTCGAACCATTTCTGCTGATGTTGCTGTTTTCTTCCGTCCACTTCCTTGACGTCGGCCTACGCTACCAATATCACGGTAACGAGCGATGGTACGAGACACAAAAGATTTATTCACATTTAAATGCTGGAGTGCTCTAATGATAGTCACTTATGGTTTTCCAACCAAATATAGAGAAATCACTCTCTCACGCTTGAATTCCATCACGAATATTTTTTTTTTTTTTCAGGAAAATTCTCACCAAAATGCTCTTGAACGCTTGTAAACAATATAATGAGCTGTTACTGGAATAATTTTAACAGCTGTCGGACGAGTGGCTTTGGAATGACAGCAATCTGAAATTGGTTGCAGTTTTTTCATCTCACCCTGTATACCTTTCTAATGTGGTGTTTATAATTATTTTTCCTTTTACCTTACGTTAAATACTATAGAAATATTGCATAATTTTTTCTTTACACATTTCAAGAATTTCTCACGCAATAGTGAAATTAACATAAATTCCATGCATTTTATAAAAAATATTATACAAATTATTTTCCTGTCTATTGACGTGTTTTGAAATACACAATCTGATATGTGTAATAATTTGTAAATAATATGGTATAAAATAAAATGCAAAATTATATTAGTCGATTCTTATATTGTGGAACTTAAGACTTCTACGTCAATACCTCTTTATCGGTTCATAGTTAATATATAATATTTTCTAAGGAAATGTATCCACATAATTCATATTTGTATTGCAGTTTTCGAAATAACATTGCAAGCACTAGATCTTCCGTGGCAAATTTAATATTTGTTGGAACGGCATTTTGGGTCTGAGTAACCTCAACAATCTTTACTGACTTTTATATGCTTTATTTCATGTGCAGTATTTTCAAATTAGCACTAGATATTGGATATAAATATTAAAAGATAGCTGATGGTTTGACAATTTCGAAAAAAAAAAATGTGAGAAGTTTGAAGAAATTCTATAATAGTTAAAATAATTTCTTCAAAATGTTATTATAATTTATAAACATAGAGAAAATTTAATTCACATTAACAGGAGTAATGATATTATACCAGAAGAAGCAGGCTGATATTGTCCATGAATATTTAGTAGTCACCTGTAGCAAATAAACGTTCATATTGGCAATTTAAGTAAAAATTGAGTCTTAAGGCTTTTGAGCGATTTAATTTTGAAATCGGCCAGAACTAACCTATGAAAGCTATATCTCGATTGAGTTCCACTTAACTTAAATGAATGAAATTTATGTTGTATTTAACCTCTCAAACAAAATATCATTTAAATGGAGTGACTTCTTAAATACTTAAGCAACAAAGTAATTAATTTCGAGGCGATACTCTTTACCATTAGAAAAATTGTTATACCCTACACCACATAGTGGTAAGTGTATTATGGCTTTGTGCATTCGTTTGTAACATGGAGAAGGCAGTGAGATAGACCCGTAGTTACTTTTGAGGATCCTCATAGAATCACTTTCTCACTCAATTTGTGCATTTCAGTCCGTCCGCCCGTCCGTCTGTCCATGTATTTTTGTCAACAAATGCAGGTCTTATTTATCGATCGGAATTAAATTTTCCAAACAATATGTATTTGTTTGGCCCAAGGAAAACCCCTATTGATGAGAATAGGCTAAAGTTTAGATAAAGTTCCTACATATATCTTCAACCGATTTCGGTTTTGGTACATCCGATCGAATTTAGTCTAGAAGCAAGTACGTCAAATTTGAAGAAAATTGGTTCAGATGTAGCTCACATGGGTAATATTCACTTCACAACAATTATCTTTGGTACCAGATATCAGATACAGCTCAGAAATAAGTGTTTAAAATTTTGCCAAGATCGTTTTAGATTTGGATACAGCTCCCATATATATATATGTCCGATATTAGGTTTTTTGTGCACCAAATGGCTAATATCAGTCCCAATGACCTCCATTTTGGCACAACC